CACACACACACACACACACAGGGTTCCCCGAGGGATGCGGTCAAACGCCTTCTCCATGTCCACAAAGCACATGTAGACTGGTTAGGCAAACTCCCACGCACCCTCCAGGACCCTGCTGAGGGTGTAAAGCTGGTCTAGTGTTCCACAACCAGGATGAAAATTGCACTGCTCCTTCTGAATCCGAGGTTCGACTATCTGACGGATCCTCTTCTCCAGAACTCCTGAATAGAGCTCAACAGGGAGGCTTAAGAGTGTGATCCCCCTGTAGGTGGAACACACTCTACAGTCTCCCTTTTTAAATAGGGGGACCACCACCCCAGTCTGCCAATCTAGGGGAACTGCCCCTGATGACCATGCAATATTGCAAAGTTGTGTAAGCCAACACAACCCCACAACATCCAGAGCCTTAAGAAACTCCAGAGCCTTAAGGAACTCCAGGCAAATCTCATCCACCCCTGGGGTCCTGCCACCAAAGAGCTTGTTAACTACCTCGGTGACCTCAGCACCAGAGATTGGAGAGCCCGACCCAAAGTCCCCAGGCTCCGCTTCCTCAGTGGAAGACGTGTCAGTGGAATTGAGGAGGTCTTCGAAGTATTCTGCCAACCAACTCACGACATCCCGAGTTGAGGTCAGCAGCACACCACCTCAACTATAAATAATGTTGGTGGTGTACCGCTTGGATGGTGGACCAGAATCACTTCAAAGCCGTACGGAAGTCATTCTCCATGGCCTCTCCGAACTCCTCCCATGCCCGAGTTTTTGCCTCAGCGACCACCCGAGCTGCATGCCGCTTGGACTGCCGGTACCAAACAGCTGCTTCCAGGGTCCCTAAGACCAAAAAGGCCCGATAGGACTCCTTCTTCAGCCTGACAGCATCCTTCACCACCAGTGTTCATCACCGGGTTCAAGGGTTACCGCCGCGACAGGAACTGACAACCTTGCGGCCACAGCTCTGATAAGCCGCCTCAACAATGGAGGTGTGGAACATGGCCCACTTCGACTCAATGTTCCCCACCTCCCCCGGAACGTGTTCGAAGCAGTTTCGGTGGTGGGAGTTAAAGCTCCATCTCACGGGAGACTCTGACAGACGTTCCCAGCAGACCCTCACAATACGTTTGGGTCTACCAGGTCTGACCAGCATCCTCCCCCACCATCGGAGCCAACTCATCACCAGGTAGTGGTTAGTGGACAGCTCCGTCCCTCTCGTCACACGGGTGTCCAAGACATGTGGCCACAGATCAGATGAGACGACAACAAAGTCGATTATTGAACTGCAGCCTAGGATGTCCTGGTGCCAAGAGCAGGGGTTTCAAACATTTGATAATGTCAATAGAAAAATCAAAACAAATATGTTCTTGTTTTTAGTATTTCACCCTGTTTTACAGCACCCTGATTTATTGCCTATTGTTATCTTTGTTGTCCATTGTTGTCATCACTCTTTGTGAAAGCCAGGTCTCTCTTGTAAATGAGTCCCCGAGGCTCAATGGGATTAACCTGTATAAATAAAGTCTGAATGCATTGTTTTATACACTACTCTTATTTTAACTGCATTTTTACTGTAGTTTATTGTTTTTTTTTTTTTTCATTCAACCTTTATTTAGACAGGTAAATCCCAATGAGCCTC